TTTTTCACTTTGAATACTCTGTTGAATAGATGGAAAGGGGGTTTATGGGTTTGCGTTTAGCATGGAAATGTATGAGTTTTACTTTTGCATGTATAAGATAAAGGGTTTAAGAGTGGACACATATACTTTATCAGATAAATTGGACGCCTACTTCGGGACGGCTGGCAAGTCGCGAGAGTCCAATTCTTCAACAGATTTAATAAATTCCATATAGATTGAAGGATATTTGCCTTGAAGATCAAGCAAAAAAATCTAGAAAACAAAATCTTAAACTGTTCGTCACCTTTTTCACGCTTTAAACAGAGTATTGTCCAATCGGCTGGATGTGTTCCTACTGTTTCTTTTTTTTTTTTTTTGTTTATCCTGTATCTTGACAGCAACAATACAGGCCTTAAACAACAGCCGGGAAATAGTACTAGCGCGAAAACAACAGGAATAACAATAAAAACAGGCACAAAAAACGCGAAGCCGCATTGTGAGCTTAAGAAAAAACCTTATGGAACAAACAGCGGCAAACACACAAAAACAATACAATTTTTGTTCGCTTAGTAATGCTTCTTGCTGCTTTGTTTTTTTTCTTCTTCTTGTTATTTATATATTTTGTTGTTGTTGTTAGTTTTGCGTGTTGACGCTTAAGATGAGAGGGATGTGGGAAAGCGGGCGCAAAACTCAAGACCCAAAAACGCCAGCTCCAAAAGTGGGTGTATGCCACACACGTGTGTGTGTTTTCTTCATCTTTTGTCTCTCGCCTGGCTGCTGGAACGCCCAGCGAGCCGCCCATTTGCTGCCATGCTCGAACTTCTCAACGTTAGGTAGTGGCACTCGGCAACGGCAACGGCTTTGTAGCCATAAAAGAGTCTTTGTTGCAAGTGAATGCGCAACATTTAAAACGCAGGCGGCTACGTGGCGGCATCTGGCTCAGCTCGGCTCACTCGTGCACACTTCTCCCTCGGCTTTATTTTTGTTGGCTAGAAAACAATTCAACACACATTTTGCAAGGCTTTATGCTTATGACACAGCTAAGGTACGAGTGCTGCCACCGGGAAGTACTTTCAGCACTAGCAGCTCGCTACACTCGCTGGTGGCTTGCTGGCATATTAGTTACATGCCCCCCTCCCCTTTACCCCTTTCAGTTTGTCGTAGATAATCGTGATTAACAGTTTTTACCTGTTTACCAAATCTGCTAACCGCAGTTTATCGCGCCATTTCGCCAGATGGCGCCACAAAACAACAACAACTAGAACAACAGCAGAACAATCGCTTCTTCTTTCTGCCCTCTAAATCTCTTCGCATTCATTTGATAATAGTTCCGCAGCATCAAAATTCTGTGGGGTAACTTAAGTCGGCGCCTGAGAGTATGCTATACGTTTGTCGGCCTATTCCTGTTTACGATTTCAGCAATTACGCTTTACCAGAGTTTGTTGAGTTGAGTTTATAGGCTTTCTTTTGCAATTTTGATAGTACCTAGACTAGAGTCTGTAGCGAGAAGCGTTGTCTATATACCCATAATCTATACATGAGTACGAAAGCCTGCCTGATTATCGATAAAATTTTAGCTGTGTTGAAGATTAAGCTCCACAAGAAAGTACTACTTTATTTGACGTACGCCTCAGTCATAACGGCATCTACAGGATATATATTTAAACTCTGATGTTTTGAGCACTTATCGAACTCTTCTAACTGGAGTCTTCCAAGAAGGCATACTTGAATATTTTATCATTTTCTAATCATGTACTTTAATGTTTTTAAACCAAGTTCTGAATTCCGGTTTTGCCTATTATATGTATCATGAGCACGCAGCATATCAAATTTGTAACTATTGACAAATTGTCAGCAAACTTTGCTATGAATTATAGATGTGCACGCCCTTGTATATAGAACCATTTGAGAATTATAAGCAATAAAAATAAAAGCTAGCAAAATCAAAATAACCTATTTAAATGGAAAGCGTTTCGCATAAACATATCTGCGAACTTACTTAAAACTGGGAATTAAAAACAAAAGCTTATAGCCAAATATTCAGAGAAACTCAAATGAATTAAATTGCAAAAGGGTATCTTATAGTCAGCCATAAACCACAAAAAATACATTGTTTTAGTTTTGTTCTTGTTATTTTTATTTTCTGGTTTTTATTGTCATGAGCAGAAACGTTACAAAGCCACAAAACTTGCATTTCGTAGAGTGCCAAATGAAAAAGTGGCTGGTAAAAAATACAAAAAAGTAGTAAAGTAAAAATATAAAATAAAAAGAGAGAAGTAAGTTTAGAAGCGGGAAGAAGCTGCAATGCCTATGCACACACGCACACATATAAGTATTATACGCGTGCACATCCGTGTGCATCCGCAAGCTCTCGCAAGTATCTATCTATCTGTATCTATGCTTGCGCGTGTGTGTTCATGTATCTGTGTGTTGACAATTGAAAGCGCCAAAGTGACTGAGTGCGTGAAGCGCCGCAGCCATTGGCAATGCTTGTCGCGGCATGTGTGACACCAGCAGCAACAACAATTGCAACAGCAACAGCAACAACAGAACAGAAAGAACAGCAACACCAAAGAGCAGCTAAAAAGATATGCATGTTTTGTTTTTACAGTTTGTTTATCTGTTGATTTCTATACTCTTGCAGAGGGAATTCGAATTTTTCAACGAAATGTTTAACGCATAGAAGTAGATATCGCCGTACCTTATAGACCATATATATTCTTGATCAGCATCAATAGCTGAGTCCACGCTCATTTCGCTCAGTTCGTCTGCCTGTTTCTACACAAAGAATTTTCTCAACTTTGTTTTTGCTATTAGCATTCAAACTTCTCTTAAGTTCGTCTTTCTTTTCCAGGCTGTATATATAGGTCGGGATCGACCGGATCGGATAACTATGGGTCCTAGGAACAATCGCTTAAGATTTATGTTCTTGATGAACAAACATGCTCTACCATGTTCCTCACATATTAGTCACATCCTACAGACTATTATATGATGATATAAAACAGCTGCATAGGAAGAATCGATTGGTAAGTCAGTTAATGCATCTGCAACCCTCTCTTCAAACGAACCTTCACCAAAATCAGCGACTACGCGCTTCACTAGTTTGCTCACATATCTGGCAATCTTTAAGCCACGTGTCTACAAGTATGTTCAATCTTCGGCGTGCCGATTTTTTCTATTTTTTTTTTTTTTTTTTTTTTTTTGCTTTCGGTTTCCACATTTTTGCCTTTGGCCATTTTTCAGCATGCGCAAAGTGCAGCGCTCTTCACGGCCTTCACTTACACATATATACCCTATAACCCAAACACAACGAGCCTCTAGACTACATTCATGTATGCATGTATGCTGTGTGTGTGTGTGTCTGTGTGGGTAGTTATCTATGCAGATACACAACTGAAACTGCTCAAATGGGCCGACTATCAAAGGCCAATCACTTAGGGCCACAGGCAACCCGCCAGATTGTTGGATCAACGTTTGCATTGACGTGTTTCGAATGTTTTGAATAAATGTTACGTAGAATCGAACCCCATTGCAATACGTCAAAAATAGTAACCAATCAGCTTAATACATGTTTTGCTTAAAAACGTTGTACTAGATTTAAGCGTGCTTTCTATTAGATACGGAGAAATTTCACACGTCCGAGATACGAAAACATCGTTCAGCTGCACTAGATATATTAGATATCTGAACAAAGTACAAGTAGTTAAAAAAGCGCAAATATTAAATATAATTCATCAATAGTATTTAAAATGTAAATAACAAAGATACAAAAGTATCTGCAGAAGAGTAGAGTTAAGCATATCGAGACAAACAGATATTGATGAACTATAAGGAAACAACAGTATCTAGAAAGATACAAAAGTATACGGAGCAAATTCCTCAAATACAAGGACACAAAAGTATTGACAAAACAAAAATATTTGTAAGATACAAAAATATCTTACAGATAAAAACTGCTGCCGGTAAATAAAAGGATATCCAACTGCTCCACTTTGAAAATGATTAAATATTTCGATAAAATTTGAAGGCTTACCGAGGCCGAGTGGGCAGCCCGCAATTCGAGTTAACCTTCAGAGCATTTTTGGGAAAATGAAGTTGCCAAATGGCACACACACAGATGCAAAGGTATGCACTCGGGTCAAAAGGCCTTTTTGGCTCATCAATGAACCAATATGCATTAATTCTTAAATATTTCACGGCTAATTGTGCGAATCCTGTGGCTATAAGGCACAAAGGCAATATCACACTTTTACACAAGCACGCGCAGGAACAGGGACAAACTGTTGCCACAAGGACATCAGGGCTCGAAATTGTCTTGAGGGCTCTTACAGGACTCCGGCCTGAACACAAACAGCAAACGGCAAAAGCGGATGACAAGGACGAGACCGAGCCCGAGTCCCAAGTCCGAGCTGCCAGCAGCCGGCTCATAACCATTTTTTATTTTGGGACGAAACAATATGTAACCGATACTTGGAAATGTCAGACGCAGAAGGCTTAACCCACAGTCGAGCAACACCTGAGTGTCTGTGTGTGCTTGTGTGTGTGTGTGTTGTGTATGGTTGCGGCTGTGGGTGGGCGTGTGCACGCCCTTAAGTGCCCCCTATTTGCTGTTGTGCGGCCCATAGCAAAACGGCTCTGAGGATTATGCCGCTCTTTCGGGGGCTTCCCAAACGTTGGAAACCTCATAAAAGTTATTGTTTTTCTACTTCATTATCTTTCAAAAGCAAAAGGCGTCCGCTCATCCAAAACACACAACCCCCCCCCCCCCCCTACACTCCCCGCCCTCCCACAGACACACAATGGAAAAGCTGGGTAAAAAAAAAAATGTCTTTTCGTTTATGGTTTTATTTTACATGACACTTGCCGCAATGCCCATTCGCTCGCGCACGAGATCCTTAAGCTGCACACTGTCAGACATTTTGAAGGACAAGTGTAATGTTTAGACGCGCTCCACGCCCAAGTCGGCTCCATGTCCGAGGCTTAAGTTTCGAACTAACTTATTGTTGGCTTCAACTTACCCAGCGCATGACACTGTAAAATCTTCGTGCGTCCTTCGCTAACAATAGATCCCGATGACGACGGATGCGTTGTAAAACGCGGTGCCTGTTGCTGCTGGTGCGATTGTCCTGCTTGAGCTCCGAGTTGTTGTTGTTGCTGCTGCTGCTGTTGTTGTTGTTGGGGAATGGCATCTGCAAGAGAATAGTTGATGATGAGCATTTTGTTCAAGTTCTCAATGTAAACAAATTCCCAGAGCGTGGGCGTTTAGTGTCGCGCACGAGCATGGCCATGCATCGGCCATGTTCAAGGATTCTGGCGAGTGCATTTTAATTAGACGAGTTACTTTTACTAAATTTGCCAGTTGCTGCAGCCAGGCAACAATTAGGCAGCTGACTTAATTGCATTTTCGTCAAGGCATTTGTCAAGGTTGACGCCAGAACTGTTTGAGAATTTTAAGCGCATTTAATGCTAAAAGTTGCCATAGCCATCAATTTGTTTGTGTTTGTCATTCGCACACTGAATATATTTGTTGGTGCATGCTAAGACAAACTCAAATATATTTAAAATTCACACCCATGAGTAATTAAATGTGCATATTGTGTTTTTTTTTTTTTTTTCGAAGTGCGAGTAGCAATTAAATGTTTTAATACGCCTCGATACTCAGCACTTTTCTTATTATTTTTAGCTAAGGTTTTGTTCAACTCTGCAAGTCAATTGAATATGGTTATTTATTTTATTTATTACATTCTGTCAGACTTTAAACAATAAGTAAACTTTAGAAGGGAAAAACAATGGCATTATATGTTTTCAATGATGGGTTGAAGTTCAGCGTGCGAGCAAACAGTAGGAAAGGTTCAGAGGATGACTTCTGCGCAAATTGTAAATTGTTGAATTGATTAAAATTCTTACAGCTTACAAGCGTGAATATACACGCCTGTGTGTGTAGATTGTTAAATATAAAATTATTATTGAAAATATAGCGTAAAAGCTAATAACACAAAACCTGTTGAAGGGATGTGAGGGACAGAACTTAAGCATATATATATATTTCAAATTCACACCCATGAGTAAATAAAAGTGCATATATTGCTTTTTCTTTTCAAGTGCGAGTAGCAATGAAATGTTTAAATACGCCTCGATACTCAGCACTCTTCTTATTATTTTAGCTCGAGTTTTGTATATGTATATGGTATATATATGATATAATATTTATATAACTCTTCGGACTGACTGACTGACTGCCTGATTAATGGTTTGACTGAATAACTTACGGACTGACTGACTGAATAACTGACCGTTGATGCCAACTAATGGTTCTTGGTTCGACGAACTTTAAACGTATTTTCGGATAAAAGTGGAGTTCATACCGACTAGTATAACACAAATGTCTTTAGATAAAACAAGAATGTTCCGAATCGCGTCAAAATGATTTTAAAAAGCCAAAATTAATGGCTCGTAGCAAGTTTAAAATGACATTTGGAAAACTAGTTCAAACAAAAAACCAATAGCTTTGACAACCATTTTGAATGTCATATGAAACATATTTAAAAATAATTTGATCCAAAAGCAAGCACAAATCGGAATAAAGATAAATGTGAATTTTAAATATAATGGCATACGCAGAAAATGAATTATAAGTAATGCTGAGCTACATTACACAAATGTATTATTAAAAAAAAAATAAAGCTGAAAATGTTTTTACATTATTGCTACTTTTGCGTGCATGTGTAAGTTGGAACAAATATCTCAATTTCATTTGCACACACAAATTATGAAAATACAGGGTAAAGAAATGTGCATGTTTTTGTTGCATTTATTACTGTTGTGGTTGCACTTTGCTGTTGTTTTTGTGCATTCCAATAGACAAAGGCGACTTGTTCGAAATGCAATATGTCTATGGAAATATAAAATTGTAGTTTTAATAAATAATAAAAACCTTCGCATATTCTTTCATTGCAACAATGCAGCAGAACAAATTTAAAAAAAATAAATAACACACACAATTTTATTTTATTGGATTCAGAAACAAGTCCCCGCCCTCGTATCACCTTCCCAGCACTAGCTCCCGAAAAAAAAAAAGAAAAGCTCCGGGCAGTAACTTGCGCCGTGCCGTAATAAATCCAATAAATCCAAGTGACAACGACGACAACAACAACAACATTAACAACAACAACAGCAACAACAATAAACAGAAAAGTCTAACAGAAGTGCTGGTTGGCTTCGGATTGTGCTGCTTTTATAAACATTTTTGCTGGTTGGGCTGACCCATTTTTTAGGGATTATAAATTCATTTTCAACGCAAAACATGCAAATATATTTTCACATTTGGGCACACACACACACACACACTCAGCACAGTCAAAAGTAACAAACGCCCGTTACAGAGCATGGTTATTGATAACCACGCAAGTAATTTGTTTATTTTTTCGCTCTATCAACAAAAACAACTGCAACAACAGCAACAGCGACAACAAGAGCAGCAACAACAACAACAACAGCAACAGACATCAGCAGCGACAGAGTGTTGCATCGTATTCATAGAAAGCATATCCTTTGAAATGCTAAAAAGCACAGCGGCAAATGACAAAATGCATTGAAAATGTAAGTACCAAAGATTGTCAATGGCTTAAAATGACTAGAAAAAAATTGATTTAATTAAAATCTAGCACTTGATTTGGTACAAATTTGAATACTATATCTTCTAGGAAACATATCTTTATTATGACAAGCAACAAGCAAAAATTCAATGATCTCCGAGATACAAATGTATCTGCTTCACACAAAAGTAAAACAAAGTATACATATATCTTTCTGTAAGATTCGCAAGTATATGTACAATGCAAGGATCTCCAAAATACATGTATCTACTGCACAAATAAGTAAAAATAACAAAAATATGACCAACATTTATCTGTAAGATCCAAAAGTAATTGTACGATGCGAAGATATCCAAGATGCAAATTATCTGCTGCACACAAAAATAAAAATAAAACAAAGACTTCAAGATATCTGTGAGTTTCCAAAATATTCTAGCTATAAAGAATAGTCGTAATGATATGCAGGAATATCTTTTAAATATCTGTCCTAAAAACTCAAAACATCTATGAGTTACAAAAGTTATCTGGACGATACAAGACCTTCGGCAATATTTCTGAGGAACTTTCCTGTTGCAAAACAACATTTAATAGAATATTACTGGCTCCGACTACACCTCAAATGAATGTTAAACTAAATCATGATACACATGTTCATAGATGCACTATAAATAGTTAACACGATTTTAGTTTTTACAATTACTAAGCAAGGCAAGCAGACAATAAGAGCGCTCGACTGAAAGATACCCTGTGTTCTTATAAACTTCGGTCTCCATTGCCCGATCTTAATGAAATGTTCAGGGTTTAATAAGGCATTCAAAAGTGTTTATATACGAAAGCACAAGGCTTTGCTCTATGTAAAATTTGTGAGATTTCATGTTTAGTTTTAGTTCAGACTGATAAAGGATAGAATAAAATATTCTGGATCTGTGTATACTATGCGAAAATAAATCACATATTTTCTTGTTTATAAGTATATATTTATCTTTCTATCGGAAAAACAAATTTTGTCGATGTTATCGGTCTTTCGATATGTAATCGATGTCGACATGAGTTATCGATTTTCATCAATACGAGCATGGATTTTAATCCATACGAATTACTGGTTAAAGATTCAAGCTATCGATCTTTAGCGATACAAGTTATCGGCTTTAATAAATGCCAGTAATCGATTCTTATCGAAGCAATTTATCGATTTTAATCAATACAACTTATTGATTATCTGTAACTTAATTTGCGTCTTCAATAAGAGCTCAAGTGTCCAGCTTTATATAGTTTTACAGACCGAAAGACAGACAAACAGGGCTAGATCGACTCGGCTGTTAATGCTGAACAAGAATAAATATACTTATACTATATATACACCTAAGGATATACTATATATACATCTGCCCCTTTCTGCCTCTTACATATATTTGCACAAAAACATTTTACTTTACAAACCGTTTTCAATGTGTACAGGGTATTAAAAATTGTATTTTAAATATTTTTATAGCCTTATTGCAAGCCCTAAAGAAAAACTGCAGCGTACAATGTTGTGGCAATTAACAATTTAGTAGTGCTGAAAATCGCATTGGGCCAGCGAAAAAAATAAAAATAAAAGAGACGCACACATATGGCAAACATATGTTCGGTCGATTGGAACAGTCAAAGGCGGAGGCGGCTTTACGCTTGGCTGATTACCTGGGGCCCGATTATAGCTCTCTTATTGTTGGCAAGTGCCATTGGCAATATAGAACTCTACTGGCTGTGGTCTTGTTACGCCTGACAAGAGAGAGCTATTCACTGTCGTTGCCATGTTGATGATGATGGTGTTGATGATGACGATGACAAGGACTTAAGTGTTGCTGTTGTGGGGGAGGGGCGCACAATTTGCACCTGCCTAACACACGCACGCACATAGGCTGCAGCCGCACAAGCAGGCGTTAAATTGCCAATGTGTCCGGCACGCTTTTGACAAACGCTACGGCTTGTAGTATGCATACACACATGCAACAAACCCAAAACCCAGCCCGCACGCTACCCACTCTCACCCTCTCTCGCCTAAAACTTTGGCCGCCTGGCTTGCTTTGAGTTTGCGGTTTTGCGCATGCGCAGCGGCCACGCACACATTTTGAATGGCTTCTCGCCCTGAGAGACATTTGATATGTGGCATGTTACAAGCACATGTATAACATGTAGATATGTGTCTCTTTATATACATATATATCAAGCTTGTAGCTTGTTCTTGTTGTCAAGTCTCCATATGCAAAATGTTGCTATTTTTGGTGATGCGCTCAATTTACAGCACTGTGTCACACATACAAAAGGCGCAGCAAGGACTTGCCACAGGAAACTGTGTCGGGCATTATCAGCCCGCCCGCACGCACACTCGATTGTCGTCCCGTTGAGCTTTTGTTGAAATTCGTTTGTTTAATGTAAACGATGCCTGCCTCATCTGCATTGCCACTTACAAGTGGCACAAAATTTCAAGCCGCAGGCTCAAATGGGGCAAGACTGCAACTTCCTTGCGGCATTCGTCGGCATCTGATGTTAATGATAAAACATTTACACACGCACACACCCAAACACTCACACACATATGTGTGGCAGCTGCA